CCCCCCCCGTAAACCTTACACTGCCTGGAAGCAGATGGCTGTCTGGCAGCTGAAGTCCAGTCATGAACAAAAAGAGGACAATTTGTACAGTCAGTCCCCTCTTTGTGTTAAAAGAGGGTGGGGGATCCCTACAAAGCTGGCTTCAGCTAACATTACTACTGTGACTGTGGCTGGAAGGATACTTCCCCACTTCCTGTGGAAGTGAAGATGCTGGTTTCTCCCTCCCACTTGAATATTAACGATCTGTTTGCTTGCTATAACTGTCTGTAGTTGTCTCATTTTCTCAAAAGGAGTAGAAACTTAAATCCTTCAATTGACTCAACCCATGAATGTGTTTCAGACTGAAATAATATGATGGGCATGTGATTTCAAACTAGTTTACACTTGAGCATCCTGGGATTTAGCCAGAAGTTAAGATAAATATTTGTGTTCAGGATGGAGAATATTAGACTTCCATTTTCAAGTAGTCATTCCACACTATGTGGCTTAATTCTAAAATAGCAAATTTCCTTGAGTGTTTTGATTGTTTCCATCTAGTGGATATTCGAAGAAACACACTTCGGTCTGTAAGTGTACTGGCTCTGTACACTGAGGTAAAGTTACAGCTTGAAACTTCGTTTCTGTCTTAACTGTAATATAAACCAACCTGATTTCTGCAAGAAATCATTCTGGATAGATAGCTTTTGCTTTGGCTTAGCCAGAGTAAAAGGACCTTGACGTTCTTCTGGCATATGCTTCCATACATTAACAGTATGTGCATATGTAGCTGCATAATATACTCTGAAAAAGGTATGTGTGAAATCAATGTGGTACAGCTATACAAAAAATGTCTCAAGACTTACCATAATCTAACATTTGTCATGTTTCCAGTGTTTGAAATGTGATTTCAATATATCTGTAAATTTAATTTTGCTTACAGCTTTGCTATGAGAACTACATCACAGACTTGTCTTGAAAAATGCAGAACTGAATTAGAAAGAATTATTAGATTATGAAATGCAACACTTAACATTTCTGGAGATAAGGCTGTCCTTTCTCATTAATTGATCAAGTGCCACTTTAAAACAATCCGTTATTGCAGTTGTTACTTCTTTGAGGAGGCTATTGTAGAATCTTAGTCTTTTAATTTAAAAAGTCCTGCTTGTTATAGGCCAAATTTATTGTTGGCTAGTTAATATCTGTCATTTCTCTAGTGTTGTGCCTCATATTAAATACATCTTTTTTCCTACATAGTGTTTAATCGTTCTGAACTTTTTCAGATAGAGCAGGCCTTTTCATCTGCTGCTTCTCGGTGCTAAACAGCATACTCATAAAATTTCTTACAAGAGAATTTACTTCTCATTTTTCATAACCATGTTAATAGTTTATTCCAGGTGGTGCTCTGCAGATACTTTTGATGATTGCACTACTGCTTTCTGGATCCTGATGGGAATATCTAGAACTACTGTATTCTGGGGTCATCTGTGCCTTTTTTTTTCACGACTGCATCACCTCATACCTCATTCATTGTTGACAAATTCAGGCATTGTTGACAAATCTCTCAAACTTCATATTCAATTATGTATTAATTTATAAACCTCATTCCCAGCTTGTTTTTCCAAGTTTACCCTAGCCCTGGAATTCCATTCTCTTTTCTTTGTACCAGAGATTGTCTTGTCCTTGGAGTTCCAACTTTTATTCAGGTTACAATTAATGCAATATTGTGTCATTAAAACAACCCAAAATCTGTGAGAAACACTGTATTACAAACTCTTCACATGTGATGTAAATGTCTGTGTGATTTTGAGTGTTAAAATTTGCTCCTTTGATGTATTCAATGCTTTTGTTGTCTGCTCCCTCCACAGCCAGTTGCTGAACCAATTCCAATCTGCAGTTTCTGCCTTGGTACAAAAGAGCAAAATCGGGAGAAGAAACCTGAAGAGCTCATCTCTTGTGCTGACTGTGGCAACAGTGGTAGGTGACCATTTACAGGTCTGCTAGTAATAACCTTGTCCACTTGGGATAGAAGAGCTTGGTATAGTGACTGCTACTGACCCACACTCGTGAGGATTATGCACCTGTGACATACAGTGTAGTTAGTTCACCTGAATCACATGTTCCCAGAAAGGAGACGATTGAGTCAACCTAACACAAATAGTTCATTTGGTTCCTGGAGGTTTTTTTAAAAATGTGGTAAAGATTACCAGTTGTTATGTTTCTCAATTCAGTTATTAAATGTTATCTTGGTGTTCTTTTGTATGTGGGTTTGTCAGTTGCTATCTATGGTATTGTTTCTGTGTTCTAAGTAGATAAGAATTGAGGCATCTAAAAATATACATAACCAAAATTCTGCATGGGAATACATAATTGATAAAGTAATCTTTCTGTGAGCATTAACAGCAGTGGAATGGTGTTACTGGTATAACTTTTTTCTTTTTCTGTAGGTCATCCGTCCTGTTTGAAGTTCTCTCCAGAGTTGACAGTTCGAGTGAAAGCCTTGCGATGGCAGTGCATTGAGTGCAAAACATGCAGTTCCTGTCGAGATCAGGGCAAAAATGCCGTGAGTACAGTGGGACATGGAGTCAATGAAGAGGATTTCAGTCTTGTGGATGTTCTGTTAAACTACCAAATAAAATAATTCTAGGGTCAAATATCTGCAGCTTTTGTTTGAATCTGGTAGTCTTTCTGAGACCTGTGAACTACTATGATGTATCTGTAGTTGAAAACTGTGTTGTCTGAGATGGTGACAAATTAATGGAGGACTTGATGCTGATGCATATCTAGAGAGAGAGATTAGCTTTATCTGTCTTCAACAGGATAACATGCTATTTTGTGACTCATGTGACCGTGGCTTTCACATGGAGTGCTGTGACCCCCCTCTCACCAGGATGCCAAAAGGTGAGGACTTCGTGAGGAAAAGGGTAATTTAAGATGGTGTTGGAAGAGATCAGTGGATAAAAAGTGCTTCCATGTATTTAATCCTCCTTAAACTGCATTTAATCTGTTCTTTACAGCATTGCTTTTGAAGTATTAGAAACTAAGGAACAGTCAGTGTTTCACATCCAGATTTTCCACTGTCTCCTGCTTCCTATACATTACTGTCTGAAGGGTTTTAAAAAAAATCTTTAAGTGATTATTGCAGATATAAATGGTCAGCTTCTATTTGAAAGAATAGCCTTGTACAAAAAAAAGATACGGGGTTTTAACTTTTTGAAGTCATTTCCATTTGGACAGTAGAGAATCCTGGAGTACAGCCAATCTTTTCTATCAGAAAGCAAGCTATCTATGGAAGGTTCATCCTTGATAGTTAGAAAAAAAATTTTCTGTTGAAAATACTTGAGAGTAGTGTATTTATAAGCAGAATATGGGCTTATTAAATGTGTTACTTTGTATGGCTAACTGTTAATGTGCTACAAATTAAAGATGGTTCCTGCATGATTGGGGAAAATATATCTGGGGGGATGTGTGTGGGAAATTAACTGGACCTGACCTTCAATTGCTGGAACACATAATTTTTATTACAAGTGGTTGTGGTAATTGGAGCCTTTGTTACTGTTCCTACCCTTTCTGTCAGGAGCTCTGAGGGGCTGTAATTCTCCTTTTTGCCCTATACAGATGTCTTCTGTATTCAGTGATGAGAACTTGTGTCTTACAGGTATGTGGATATGTCAGATATGTCGGCCACGGAAAAAAGGAAGAAAACTTCTACACAAGAAGGCTGCACAGATAAAACGACGCTATGCTAACCCAATAGGACGTCCCAAAAACAGGTTAAAGAATCAAAATACAACGTAAGTATCTCTACAAGGGTGAGTAAGATTGAGATTCTGTAGGGCAGTGGCTATTTCTGAAATGTCTCATCTACTCTCTGAGATTTCTTCTACAATTAAGATCTTGTTATTCTTTAATACAGAATTTCTGAAGAGTGCCGTGAAAGACTAAATGTAATCTCAGAGTTCTTTCTTTCCTAGATTTTTGAGTCTTTTTTATAAAAACTTACTATTTAGTTTTTAACTTTCCTTATAGTCATAGATTAATTTTGGTGTTCGTGTCAAGTCTGTTTTGCTGGATAATTGCTTCTTCCAGCATAACTGTTTTGCGTTGCATTTCTCGAGAACCTTTTCTGGAGAGAAACTAATCTACAATAAAGCATAAGAGGTTGTTTGACCTGTATTTCATCTGACACTGCTGCCAGAAGATACTTGGCCCCTTTCTGCTTCCTTTCCACGTTTCTGCATTTGTGAAGCACTCTCATTGTGCTGGGACAGATTGTGTGGCCTTGTCATGGTGGTTGTGGGGCAGGCAGTCATCAGGGAATTGGATTTGGATGGGTGGGATTTGGATAACCGTTCAATCAGAGCAATTTTCTTGAATTAAGTTGCTGTGCAGTGCTTGTGGTGATGCAGCTTTATTGACTGTGCAGGGGACAAAACAATGAAGGAGTTTGTCACAAGAACTTCTGTTTTGGGCATCAGATCAGCTTAAAAAGAAAAAAATATTAACTACGACTTGATTCTAACCAATAGCGCAAAAGGATGTTCTGGGAAAAAGAACTTAATTAGTTTGATTCTTATGAAAACAGAGGGATTGTCTCTCTGAAAACATCCTATTTGTTTTTGCAGTCTGTGTCATACATATGCTTAGAGGAATTCCTGTTATAATTCAGAGAGTAAATGGAAAGCTAGCTATCTGCTATTGCTGTTTTGTCTCTGTTAATTTTTTTTTCATTATTTATCCACAATTTTTTGCCTTTTTTCCATAATTTCACTTGCAAAATATAACCACGGAATTATCCATAGAAGCTTTGTTTTCTATCTTTTGTAGCTGCAAAAATTGTAGGAAAAAAACAGTCAGTTTCCTGAAACAGCAGTTGGTCTAGCACAGTCCCTCTGAGAAGTGTTAAATACTCAGTTATCTCACTAGAGTTTTAAAATTTCCAGCCTGAAAGATGGCAGCTGGTTTTTGCTAAGATGACCATCAGTGGTATGGGTTCTTAGCAAATATGCATGTCCTGCATGTGTTAACTTTCTGTGTAGTTCTTATGACAATTTCCTATGAAAGGAAATAGGAGTATGAGAACTTTGACAAATGACAAGTGTAAATGTTTAATGACTTCATAAATTGAAACCATCTGTACAGTATATTCATTCTGGCTACTGATTTTAAAATTTAACAATATATTAAATTTGGTGAAAATCTATTGTTTATTCTCAAATTATTTGCCCATAATGTTCAGCATGAAGAAAAATAGTATCTGTTTCTACTGTAATATTTAGAATCCTGGCTTCTCTGGAGTACACAGGCTCTTGACTACTCATTTATTATTCAGTTCTTCAGTTTGCATTTAGCTTCTGTGTAATTGATATGTAAGTAGGGGAGATGGTAGTCCCCTTTTCAGCTCACAGCAAACCACCATATGAGATCTTCTGGCCATATCTTTCCCTGTCTCTTTCTTTAGATCAAAAGGCCCTTTCAGCAAGGTTCGAACTGGCCCTGGTCGGGGTCGGAAGCGCAAGATCGCTCTGTCTAGCCAGTCACCATCATCAGAAGGATACCTGGAGCAGACAGATGTCTTGGACTTCTGCAGAGATGGCAGCACCACCTTGAAGTTTAACAAGAAAACCAAAGGGCTCATAGATGGCCTTACCAAGTTCTTCACTCCTTCCCCTGATGGAAGAAAAGCTCGAGGGGAGGTGGTAGACTATTCCCAGCAGTATAGGATCAGGAAAAAGGGTAACAGGAAATCCAGCACTTCAGAATGGCCCACAGGTAAAGATTTTTCACCCTGCCAGTGTAAGTATCCTCTACACCTAGAAAGTGTTCAAAGGCTTGGATGTTCAGTATTTAGAATTGTTAGAGGCTGGAAAGTTGGAGCAGAAAGTTAACACTCAATGCAGTTATATTTGGTGCCCTGAGGTGGAGTACCAGTTGGAAAAAGGAAGCAATCCTAGACATCTTTGCCTCTTTATATAGGATGGCAAGATGTCATGAGGGATTAAATGATTACTGTGAGATAATGTGTTCTTGGTAATGAGGGGCTTGCAGATAGACCTAGGAAATGTTCTAAATAATGTCACATTTTAAAGAAGTAATGTAGGGACTGGTTAATGAAAATAAGAATAGCAGGGTAGAAGTATAAAATGAGAAACATACAATTAAAACCAGTCAGACCCATGAGTTTCTCATCTATGGTAGAAGCTTAATTTTCTCACCCGTAGAGGAGCCTGCTTAGTGCAGTTTGGCACCTTTGTGCTGGAGAGCATCCCTTCTTTTGAATGCAGTTCTGCTTGCCTTGTTTTTTTTCCCTAGCTTAAGACATTCATCTACAACTGGACCTTGATTTAATCTCTGTATTCAGATCTTTACTGTCTTGTTGAATAGTTTTATAGCTTCAATTGTTCTTAAGTAAGCAGTGGAAAATATTCCACAATAACATGCAAGGTTTACAGCCTTAGAGTAGTTATGTGTATTAGCCTGGCTGGAGCTGGAAGAACAATAATCCATCTTAATGCTTTGGACATGATAGGAAGTATCTTGTGGGTTTTGTTTATATTTTAGTGGAAAGCATGTTTCTTGAGTCATGCACATAAGTGTCCTGGTTTTGGTTACACCAGATACAGCATTTAAATAATTGCGATCCTTGTGTGTGAGAAACAGCCATAGTGGTAAGCCATTTATCCAAAACTGTCTCATTGTTAGAAATGTCTTCATGATACTCTGAGTAAGTAGTGAGTTTTGGACCTGGCTACATGTATGATGGTACTTCTTACATGTTCACAAATCCAGAACTGGTTCTTCCTTTGTGGTCCTAAGCCTGAATAGAAAAATCCCTTCAAAAAACTTGGCAGACTATCTGAATAGAGTTAGAAGATGTTTTGTCACTGCACTAAAAAGCAAGTACTCCTTTGAAGACAATTTTCTCTCTCATTTATAGACAATCAGGATGGCTGGGATGGAAAACAGGAAAATGAGGAGCGTTTTTTTGGGAGCCCGGACATCTTAACTGAAAAAGACATGGAGTTGTTTAGAGATATTCAGGAACAAGCACTGCAGGTAAAGTTAAATTTTCAGTGTCTGGCAGTAAGTACCAAATATTTAAAAGAAATTTAAACAAACCCGAAAATCCCACCCCAACCCAACAACAAAAACCAGCAAGAAACAGACTCCTGATGACTCAGTCTGTCATACAAGCTAATGCGCTTACACTTGAGTAATTAATTTTAAAATATTATATCTTCTGTTTTTTCTGCTAGTAAATAATTTGAGGTTTTTCTTTTAAGTCTTCTGCATTCTTAATAAACAGGTAGCTGTACCCTGAGTGTTTTGGTAGATAGTATCTTCACAGTAGTACTTACAGTCTTCGAGCTGGGAAGACACCAATGTGCTATTTTAGATACTTGAACATTCTACATTTTAACCTCAGGAACAGTTCACATCTTGTTTTTGGCTGTTGAAATAACAAGAGAGAAAATGGCAATTGAACTGAAAAAAGATAGTATTAAATTTTGGTGTGTGCTCTTTTTTATTTAAAATTATGACATGCAACAGCATGAAAGATAGTGGAGGAATGTGAGTGGTTACTGATTCTTCCTTTTTGTGAATCACATGCTTGCTTAAAGTGTGACTGGTGCTAGTTTTTAGTGTCAGAAAGCAACATCTGCATTTTCCTTCTCTGTGTGTTTGAGTAGAATGGACTGTAAATAAGAATGTTCATCTTAGCTTCCATGTCTTTCACTTGGAAATTCACAAAAACTTTTTTCCCCCCTTGCATAGAAAGTAGGGGTGACTGGGCCTCCTGATCCACAAGTCCGGTGCCCTTCTGTCATCGAATTTGGCAAGTATGAAATACAGACCTGGTACTCATCTCCATATCCACAGGAATACTCGAGGTAAGGCTGAACATTCTTTTCCTTTGTTCTTCAGTGTTCATGGGGAAGCTGTACTCCAGCAGGCCTAGACATCTTAAGAAGATTCTGTCTAAATATAGGACAGAAGCAAAGTACACATAATCCAGATACTTTTCATAGCAGTTAATAGACATCTTGAGGTCTTTTTAGGCTGAGTCAAAAAGTTGATAAGCTCTTTGCAACAACCTGCATATACTGTGAGCATTCAAGCTGCTGCAGTCAGGCAGAGCAACCACAGCTCTCTCAGCCTTCCCTCAGAGGAGAGGTGTTTCAGCCTTGGATCATTTCTGTAGTCATCCTCTGCACTTGCTCTAACAGGTCCATATTGTGTGGGTCAGCTCCTCCAGCCTGTCTGGGTCCCTCTGGATGCCATCCCTTCCCTCAGTGAATCAACTGCATCAGTTCTTATGATAAAAAACAATACATTTTTTTAGGGAATAGGCAGCTAACTGTGTATGAAAAAAATGTGTTACAAATGGCTGTATACTATTTATGAAGTTGAAAGAGAGCAATAAATAGAAATTTCACAGGAATTACTTTGATGTATTATCTTTGTGCTGTAGTTTAACACTGCTAAAGATGAAATGTTAAATGTTTCATGTTTTGGCATTGAAGAATTGTTCTGCTGTGATGCACATACAGGGCCATAGGTAGAGAGAAAATTAAATAGAACTCTGTTCTACTGTTTAGTAAGAGCATTTGGGCTATCATGAGGAATTACTCTAGCTCTGCCGAAGGCACTGAAGGTAACTGAAAATATTTTCACTGCCCAAGGTAGAGTACGCAAATGGAGTTAAATCACAACAGTGTCATGACGCTTGAACTCAAGCTGTTCATGTGAGTGTAGTATGTAAAATGATTTTACAGCAAGCAGCTAGAAGGTGTTGTGACCCATTGTTCGGGGTCTGTTATAAGGAGGGAAGGCAGAGAATAGGAGCTACTTCTATAATCCATCCTCCTGTCATTAGTGCAAAACTAGGGTTTTTTTGCTATTTTTCAAGGATTTTAATTGATGCATGTATGTCTTCTGACATAATGTAAAAGTAATTATGCAGAACATTAAGTACATTTTTAATATGCAATTGTGACAGAATAAGTGACGTGACTAAGTGTTATAAGGTATTTTGGTCTGATTAGCACATATACAGGGTATGTATATATTTGGTTTGTTTTCATTGACTTATCTCTGCAGGAGTAATGAATTTTGTACGAAAGTCTGTATCTTCATTCTTTTGATCTTTCTTTATCTTTGCTTACAGGCTACCCAAGTTGTACCTTTGTGAATTCTGTCTAAAGTATATGAAAAGCAGAACTATTCTCCAACAGCACATGAAAAAATGTGGCTGGTTTCACCCTCCGGCCAATGAAATCTACAGAAAAAACAATATTTCAGTATTTGAGGTAAGTTAGAAAAGTAAGCCGCTCACTTTTATCTATAAAATAGGGACTTTAGCACCCAGTCGTGTGATACATTTCCCATAGCACTAAACATGTTCATTCTTGAAGGATTCAGTTGCTAAGAGTGAAGAGCTACAGTGGGAGCTGACCTCATGTGAAGATTATTCATACATAAAATGTATGAGAAGGCACATTTTTTAAAAATGCTTTTTCATTTTTTCACTTTTGTAAAATTAATTTTAGGTTCTCTCTTAAGGTAGTGAATGTAGCAGTGCCTTGGCCATGGCTTTTATGCTGTCTTTTGAGACTCTACCTGTGACAGAGAAGTCTTCCTATATTAGACGTTTCAAATGCACAGGGATAAGAGATGAAGCATGTCCTTGCATGACAGCAAATGGAGTGACAAAACTTTTACTCGTTTTTGTAAGGTTGATGGCAATGTCAGCACTATCTACTGCCAGAATTTGTGCTTGTTAGCCAAACTCTTCCTGGACCATAAGACTCTGTATTATGATGTGGAGCCATTTCTTTTCTACGTGCTGACACAGAATGATGTCAAGGGCTGTCACCTTGTTGGCTACTTTTCTAAGGCAAGTATTTGAGCATTTCAGGCTTGAAACTGCATTTGGTGTGGTGAGAAATGTTGCTTCAGTGTCTTTACATCATTGTAATTTAGACCCTATACATGATAGAATATAGATCTAGACCTTTGTTGCAACCAGATTTTATTAATGTTATATTTGGAGACTACCAACTAATAAAACCAAATTTCCTCATAACATTGAATGCACGGTACAGCAGCTAGTAGCTAAAAAAAAACCCTCTTCAAATTACTTCCTACTTATGGTGGTGATAGGCAGTACTATTTGTGAGATAGTTACTAAGTAGTAGTCTTTATTGTATCTAAGCAGAAGGTGGTAGTTACATCAAGGTTTCATTCTTTCTGGTTTTCTTAACTGAAGTTATTGTAATAGAATTGTAATATAATCTCTTTTAAAGTCTTTCCTTGGCTCATGTACATTGTTGTTCCTAAGAAACTTTGTGGCTTTCTGTCCCAGTTTTTGCTAAAGAAGTAATAAGGGATGTATGCAGAACACCACCTACTATTTCTTACTGGTATTATTGTTGTTGTTGTTGTTGTTACTGCTGTTGTTGTTATTTAAAATTATTTGCTGTTTTTTTTCCCCCAACAGGAAAAACACTGCCAACAGAAGTACAATGTTTCCTGTATAATGATTCTTCCACAATACCAGCGTAAGGGCTATGGCAGGTTCCTAATTGACTTCAGTAAGGACCTTTTCATGTTCATTTTTTTTTTTTTAGTCTTTGTTTTCTAATATTTTAAAGAAAGGCTTAACTATGGAAGAGGATATTTTTCAAATGAAAAAAACATCTTGAAACAAAAGATTCTGAAGTTCACAAAATCAACTGAACTTCACAGTTTATTCTTACTGTTGGAAGTCTTCAATTTTAAAGAAAAAAAATAATCATAATTTCTCCCCCTAATTCTCGTATTTCCTGTGTAAGCAGTTTATGGTAGAAACGGTAGTCTTGTCAGGATAGTGTTTTTATCATAGGCTTACTTTGTTCATGTAGTATTTTCTACAGAAAGTCAGTGCTAAAACTGCACATCTGTTGAAGCCTTCAGCAGCTTGATTAAGTGAATGAGTATGTTAAGCAAAAGGTAGGGTCATAGTTTGGTCTTAATTTAGCTTTGAAAGCACCAAACTAGTTAGACTCTGAATACTCAGGCTGTGTAATGCAGGCCTAGTATAGTAAGCAACTGCTGCCATCTCGTGGCCTTGCCCATAGCCAAAGTCTGATGGCAGTGCAGTTTAGAAATCTCATGTTTTGTCAGTGAATAACAGGAGTTAAAAAAAAAAAGTGTGACCAGATAATTCAGTGTATCCTTAAAATGTTATCATTTATATCTTTTAGGCAGCAGTCAGCTGCTTTCTGGAAAAATGCCTTTGTAGAACTTGGAGTGGAAATGCAAGCTATATATGCAAATTTTAAAAATAACTTATTGTATATCTTTAGGCTATTTGCTTTCAAAGCGTGAGGGTCAAGCAGGATCACCAGAGAAGCCCCTGTCAGACCTGGGGCGCCTCTCATATATGGCTTATTGGAAAAGTGTAATATTGGAGTGCCTTTATCATCAACGTGACAAGCAGTTAAGCATCAAGAAATTGAGCAAGCTGACTGGAATCTGCCCTCAAGATATCACTTCCACTCTGCATCACCTACGAATGCTCGACTTCCGTAGTGATCAGTGAGTACAGCAGTCCTTTTGTATTTCCAAATAGCTTCAGATGTATTTAAATGAAATTTAATGATGTTTGCGGACAAGTCACTTCCAATAAGCTTTATTTTATTTAAGTGTCCAAACACTGGCTGCAGAGATTTATAATGTTAATGTGGGCTGCAAGAATGGTTCAGTGCCTGTTCCCCAAATGGCATGCCCCTTGCCCATTTAACACGCAGTAAACGTGGTACTCTACAGCTGAATGTTACCCATGGAAGGATATTAGTTTTGCCATTAACAAGAGGTGGAAAGAATTTAACTACGTTTTCTCTGTTTTAAGATGCTTTTCTCTAGTAGTCTGAAGGTACTGCAAATTGCACAATATTAATGAGCTTTCTCTCCTTTCTTAAGTTATTTGTGGCAGAACTGATTGAGAGTACACAGCTTTTCCCTGTAATATATCTGTTTCACGGGACAACATATACAATATGTAGCTGTTGTTAATCTGAGTGTTATTACTGTTTAGATTTGTGATCATTCGTCGGGAGAAACTTATCCAGGAACATATGGCAAAGCTTAGAACTCATGTCCGACCAATAAATGTAGATGCAGAATGTCTGCGTTGGACACCTGTTATAGTTTCCAACTCAGTTGTCTCTGAAGATGAAGAAGAGGAAACAGAGGATGGGGAAAATGAAGAGCAACAACAGCAGAAGGAAAAGGATCCAGAGACAAGTGTAAGAGTGCATCTGTTACTTCTGTGTGGCTGTAGTTTAAATGTGGACTCTTGCTGCAACAACTGGAAATGCCAAGCTGGGACATTTGGCATACTTGTAAAAAGCAATGCAGTCGTGATTAGTTTATGGATCCTTACAGTTTCAGATTAGAAACTAAAAAAGAAGGAAAACATTGAGGCATAGTCTAGAGAAAGGTTAAAGTTTATCTCTGAAAAGAGTAAAAAGGCTCTCTCTAACCTTAATGACTTTTGCAGTATTTGTTGGGGGGTGTTAAAAAAATCCCAACCAAACAGAAAAAAAGAACAATCAACCAAATCTGCCTCTCACTCTCAAGCAACCTGGTTTCTCTTCAAATTATTGAAATGGATTTAAGTTTGAAAGACCCTGAATTTATCTAAGTGACAAATAGCATAAATGGAAGTAAATCAACAGAAACTTAGCATTTTTCACCAAAGATTTTTGCTCAGTACTTTTGCAAAACCTTTAGAATTACTGCCCACTGAGTGGTGAAGGTTTCTGAAATTTAGGCTACTGTCCTTGAAGGGTTCCACTCTCACATCGGGTGATGATCACTGACTAGAATACTAAGAGGCAAATTAGGTGCTGTTACTGTATTTATATTAAACTAATTGTGCATTTTAATGGCAAAATAGCTTCAAGTTTGTCTCAATGTTTTCTAAAAAATTACACAAATACTGTGTTTGAACGTTGTGAGATGATGTCTGCTCCAGCAGGCTACTGGATGGCTGCTGCTGATTGAAGTCACTTCCTGAGGAGCTAATTGAGGTACATTATCATCTGGGAGGAAAGGAGTAGCAGATAGCAGTATTAGAATCTTGTAAAGGTCAATTATTTTGTTATTCCCAGATTCTTGGCAGTCATTCTTGTTGGATTTTTCTGACTTCTTTCTCAAAAACTGCTATGGAATCAAATTCCGAACAAGCGTGCATGCTTAAACAGGAAGTGTGAAATCTTGTTTGTTTTTATTTAAATCAGATGGCAAAATCTGTGTCATGGGAGAAGAAAGAGCAAGAGCCTTACTCACCTACAGAGAGTGAAAAAAAGCCAGACATTGTTGCTCCAGCCAACTCTGCACGGCCCAACAAGCACATTTTTCCCCTGGAGAATCTTCCTGTAAACAGTCAGCCGTCACGAAGAGGTCGATGGAACCGCAAGGGCAAGAAACTTCGGGAGCCCTTTTGTGAGGAGCCAGGCTTGCCCATGGAGGACAAAGCAGCAGTTCCCAGTGGGCGATGCAGTGAGTGTGAGGAGAAATCAGCAGCCACACGAGGCCGTTGCAGTGACTGTGAGGAGAAGTCAGCAGCCTTGCAAGGAAGGTGTGGTGAATGTGAGGAGAAGTCTCCAACCCCAAGAGGCCGTTATGCAGAAGATGAGGAAAAATCTGCAGTTTCCCAGGGACAGTATGGCAAAGGTGAAAAGTCTCCAATTCCCCATCGGCGTTATAGCGAAGGTATGGAAAGGTGGAGAGGGCAGTTGAAAAAGAACACGGAGCCACCAAAGTGCAGATTCCAGGAGGACTGTGACAGGCTACCCCGCCGCTACAGCGATAGCGACAGGGCACTTTTGAGGTGTTTTAGTGAGAGTAGTGAAGAGGAAGATGATGAGCCTGTGAGTCCTCGGTCAAGCTCTCCACCTGTTCTCACAAAGCCAACATTAAAACGAAAGGTGTGTGCCTTGTTTCTGACTAAATCATGCTGTCTGTTTTGTCAGTACATTGGTTCTTCCTGAAGGATTGTGCAGTTTGTGAGGTATGTATTAAGCAAACAGCATCTGCTCAGTGTTCCAGGACCTTGTCTGGATGGTACTTTCTGCTATCTTTTTGTGGTGATGGTGGTTTTTGTTGAATCAGAGGTAGGGGTTTATTTGGTTGGGTTGAGCTTTTTTTTTTGTGGTTTTGGTTTGTTCTTTTGTTTTGCTGCTGGTTTTGTTTGTTTTTTTATCTTTGTTTAATTCTACCTTCTGTCTTCTGCTTTTGGTTTTTCCAGCTTGGTTATTAAATTTCTACTCAAATATGCAAAATAGAAGCAGATGTGGTCCTACTTTTGAAATAAGCTTGAAATGCACAAACACTATCTAAACATCTAAAATCATAGCATAAAGTCTTTGGAATTATTTACTCTAAAGATGTGAATTCTGTCAACGTGACCAAGAATACCCTCTCTTTGTGGGATGCTGCATAAAAAAGTTCTGTTCTATATCATCTTTGCAGCTTGTTTAAACTATTCACATATATGTCATAGTGTCTCTGAACTTCCAGCTGTTATGGATGGTCTGGGAGCTTCATCTATTTAAATGTTTTTTACTGCATATGATACAATGTCTTCTCTCACCTTCCATTTCAGAAACCAATTCTTCATCGGAAGCGTAAGCACCACAACAGCAGTGTTGTTACTGAAACCATCTCAGAAACCACAGAAGTGCTGGATGAACCATTTGAGGACTCAGACTCTGAAAGACCAATGCCTCGCTTAGAGCCTACATACGAGATTGAGGAAGAGGAAGAGGAGGAGGAGGATGAAGAGGAGGAGAATGAACTTCTGCCCAGTGGATACTTTCGGCACTTAGCCCCACAAGACACACTCAGGCATAGACCCTCTTCTAAGAGGAAGTCCAAAGATGAGGAGGAGTTTGATGACACTAATGGTATGTTTGGTGGTATGCTGTTGAAAGTTTGATATAGTGTGTCAGGATCAGATGATACCAGCTCATGATGGAACAAGCTGCTTTCCTTGTCTTGCATTTCTAGCCAAAATATAGGCTTAGGCATAAATTGCCAATCAAACCAGCCTCAAACATTCCTGGGTCCTATGAAAATGCTTTTAACTATTTTATTAGCAATGACCTGAGCACAGGGTATTCTTTTGATTTGGCTTTCCTACTGGAATTGATATCTGTAATTGTGGAAGAACCTATGCAGCAGGATCACTTACAAAAATAAAAAAAATTAATTGGAGAGCACTCAGTTTGCCATAACAAAAAAAAACGATAAATGGTCTCTTTTGAGATTCTCTTCTTCATCACAGTGCATGTCCTGCCTCTTAGCTTCTCATATGTCTTTAAAATTCTCTGAACCTTCAGTTCATAATAGAAAATTGTTTGGAACTGGTTACTTAGAGTGCACTGACCATTCAAAAGAAACCTCTGTCATTCAGATGCTCCCTTCACTCTGGCTGTTACCTATTCTGTTCTTCTGATGGTCTAATCCTAACCTTTTAATGCAGGAAAACTGTAATGCTCTTAGAGAAAATACAGTGTATTTTCAATTCCCTAAACATGTTAGCCCACAGGGATAATCCATCATAAACAGCTGGCCTTTTTTTTTATTATTAAAAAATTAAGCTCTGTGGAGGAGGGCAGCCCTGCCTTATGAAAATTCAGATACATGGTATTGCAGTCATACTCAGTTCATATTTAGACTATTTTAATCATAACTATGAGTTAGAAAAGTTTATAGGAAACTTAGATTTTTTGGAAAGTTCCCATCGCTACAGAAACGTGCTTGTAATCCCACCCCACTTTTGTGTTTGTTTGTTTTTGGTTTTTTTTGTTAAACTTGCTAACTAAAGGGTGGTTTGGATTAGATTGTTCCCTGATAACTTAATCTCTATCTGAGGCAATCCAGTGAAATTGTTTTATGATTTTCCTGAAATGTAACATTGCAGTCTCTTAAATTTGGTGTCTGATGAGAATTGGAATTGGTTCTGATCACTGTCAGGGATACAGTGAGAACAGATAGCATGGGGTGGTGGATTGAGGCCAGTTTTTAGTAAGGATGAGGCTTTCTGGAAGACAGCATGTTCTATGATGTAGAAAACAAATAAAGCTCATCTCTTTACCTTCTACCAGTTCTGTGCAACTTGATTAGTGTTTTGTGGGGGAAGATGGAGCTCTGTAGTAGGCTGGGCTGTATTATTTTGCTTTTCCTAGTTCTACCTGTAAGTTTTGCTGTGAATTTGAATACTGTAAGGATCTTCTTTTCAAGCTTGTGTGCACTCTGCCATTTAACTAAGTGCAACTGAATGGGTGTGTACGTATGTTTTTCAGTATCCTAAAAAATGATGCACGTGAAATCTGGAGTTGTCATCAAATCCATATTCTTTTGCAATTTACATGATAAAAAAGGGTGAAATTTATTTTATATCCATATAGTGGGATGACCCACCTAATTTACAGGGTCATCAGGGTGACATTCATCCTGATTTAAATAGTAGGATGACTGGCTTATTACGTGGTATAAGGTTCAGGGAGGATTATTTGCTCAATACAAATGAACACTGGTATGTGAAAAATGTATTTGTCAGACTATTTATAAGACTACAGTTTGGTTAATAAGCGTATTAGTCAGTAGTATTTTGAGAGGTATTTGACAGGTTCAAAACAAAATTTATTCAGAGAATGCCTAACAGTATTCAGTAAGTTCTCAGTAAATTAACATATTCCTTTCTGGCTGTATAAGGTCTGAATCTATTCTAGTGTTTGGAAAGTCACTGAAATGCAGAAACTTCCTTCATCAACTAAAACGTCAGATGAGCGAGAAATTCAGCTTCCTTTTAACAAGCACTTAAATTTAAAGAAAAACAAAATAGCCAAATTCAGTCATGTGGATCTGTTGGCATTTAAAAGCATAAGTCATGAAAAGCTGGAAATACTTCCCTTCTTCAGCAGATGCATAAAATACAGATCTAAATTGAAATATTCTTTTATTCCAACTTCATAGTTTCTCTACACTGCAACATTTTCATTTGCAAACATATTGTATAAATAAAAACTGTAAAGGGTGGTGAGTCTTTCCAGGACTTTTATAGTATAGTCTAGTGTTTAATTTGAATTTTTTATTAAAGGCTCAGAGCTTTGACCATGCAAAATCTTGAAAGCACTGGTGTTCTTTGAGTATCTGCAGTGTGATTACTAACAATCAGACATTGATGCTTCTTGTTACCCTTCACAGTAAGTCTCTAGGCTGGTATTAATACACAAAGTTGATAAATACGATGGGAATGCTTGGGAAAGCTTTCATGAATGGTTCAGTCAAACAAAAATGTCTGAACAATATCTTTCAATTTGTGTTTTCAGGTAACCCAACTTTGAAACCATTATCTATGCTGAGAAAATGTGAAGCAAAGGATTCTTCACTCAAGCCAGATACTTCTACACCCATGAAAAAGAAGAAAGGATGGCCAAAAGGGAAAAGCCGAAAACCAGTCCACTGGAAGAAGAGACCTGGTCGAAAACCAGGTTTTAAACTGAACCGGGAAAAGGAGCCACCATCAGTTCAGGGTGATGGAGTTGATGCAGCAGTAGCTAATTCAAAACCAGGGCGTAAGCCCAAAATTTCAGATGAAGAAGAAAGTGTTGAGCAGAAAGAAGAGCAGCCTCTTACTGAGGAAAGGAAAGAGGAAGATGTGAATATGGAAACAGAAGAGGTAGGAGAGGGAGAAGAGGAAGATGTAGCCAGCAGTGAAGTAAGAGCTATTTCTCCTGTGGACAGCAACAGCAGTCCAGGGCCGGAAGTAAAAGAGCCTGAGATAGAAGAGGAGGTAGAGGAAAAGCCACGGGTTTTAGAAGAGCAAAGGCAATCAGAGGAAGAACAGCAAGAACTAGATGAACCTGAACATGACCATGAGGAAGAAGAGGAAGTTACAGTAGTGACAAATCAAAATGAAGATCATGATGCTGATGATGAAGATGATGGTCATCTGCAGTCTGTGAAGAAAAAAGAATTGGAGGAACAGCCGATTAGAGAAGGGGTGAAGGAGGAGCCTCAGGTACAAGAATGTTTTTTAGAAACAAGCATACCAAACAGTAGAGAAGATACAAAAGAAAAAGATGAAGCAGAGGCAGATTCTGAGGAGGAGCAGGCTTCCAATGAGACATCAGTGGGCTCAGAGCACGTCCCTGGGTCTGAAGATGATCACGAAGAAGAGCAAAGTAATAAAGAAGGGTTAACTGAACTAAAGGAAGAGGAAATTTCACATAGTGAACTAGATCTTGAAACTGTTCAAGCAGTCCAGTCCTTGACACAGGAGGAAAGCAACGAGCATGATGTAGCCTACCAGGACTGTGAAGAAACTCTTGCAGCTTGCCAAACGTTGCAGAGTTACACCCAGACTGAGGAGGATCCTCAGATATCAATGGTTGAAGATTGCCAGGCCTCAGAACACAACAGTCCAATATCTTCTGTTCAGTCCCACCCCAGTCAGTCTGTACGTTCTGTCAGCAGCCCAAATGTGCCTGCTCTGGAGAGCAGTTACACCCAGATAAGTCCTGAACAAGGATCCCTGTCCGCACCCTCTATGCAGAACATGGAGACCAGCCCCATGATGGATGTGCCTTCAGTATCGGACCACTCTCAGCAGGTGGTGGATAGTGGCTTCAGTGACCTTGGCAGCATTGAGAGCACTACAGAGAATTATGAAAATCCCAGCAGCTATGATTCCACTATGGGAGGCAGCATTTGTGGAAATAACTCTTCCCAGAGCAGCTGTTCATATGGAGGACTGTCATCTTCTAGCAGCCTCACTCAGAACAGCTGTGTTGTCACTCAGCAAATGGCAAACATTGGCAGCAGTTGCAGCATGATGCAGCAAAACAGTGTCCAGCCTGCAGCAAACTGCAGTATCAAGTCACCTCAGAGCTGTGTGGTAGAAAGGCCTCCAAGTAACCAGCAACCAACAACACAGCCACAGCAGCAACAGCCTCAGTCACAGCAGCCACAGCCCCCACCTCCACCCCAGCAGCAACCTCCACTGTCTCAGTGTAGCATGAACAACAGCTTCACTCCAGCACCTATGATCATGGAAATACCTGAATCAGGAAGCACTGGTAACATAAGTATCTATGAGAGGATTCCAGGGGATTTTGGTGCTGGGAGCTATTCACAACCGTCAGCCACATTCAGCTTAGCCAAGTTGCAGCAGCTGACAAACACCATTATGGACCCTCATGCCATGCCTTATAGCCATTCTCCTGCTGTGACGTCCTATGCAACCAGCGTTTCTCTGTCCAATACAGGATTGGCTCAGCTCGCTCCCTCTCACCCATTGGCAGGGACAGCACAAGCACAAGCCACTTTGACCCACCCACCAAACCTGGCGTCCTCCACCCCGAAGCTCACCTCGCCTACTCT